TCATCATCATCATCATCCTCATCATCATTTGTTCATCATGCTCATCATGCTAATCACTATCATCATCATCATCATCATCATCATCATCATCATCATCATCATCACCATCAATATCATCAGCATTATCACCATAGTCATCATTACCATCATCATTATCATCATCACAACCATCAACCTCGTCATCACCTTCATCATCATCATCATCATCATCATCATCATCATCATCATCACAACCACCAACATCATCATTAGCATCAGCATCAGCATCACCATAATCATCATAATCATCATCATCATCATCATCATCATCGTCAAAGTCATCGTCGTTGTCGTCGCCATCACAAAGATCGTTATCAGCAACGGCATCATCATCACCGCCCTTATTCTCCTTCTCCGCCATCCTCCTCCTGCTCCTGCTCCTCACCCATCCTGGTAATAATGATGTGAAAGTTGTGAGCCTGGGATAAGCAGGGACGGAAGTACAGGGGACTCCCACGTTCTCAATTTCGCACTGCTAATGCTGCTGGCTGATGGCTGCCTCTGCTGTTTGCATGCTGCTGGCTGCTTCTGCTATCCGTCTCGCGCTGGATCAGTGTCTGAAAACTGCGATGCTGTGCAGCCGAAGCCTCCGGAAAGCTTGGTAAACGACCCAGAGATTTCGTCCTCCAAAACGCTCGTGACGCATTTGGGAAGCTTCGAGCTCACAGCAACACTGCAGGAACTGCGTTTATCGCCGCCGTGTAGACACATCATATGTTGCCAGTGCGGGGCATTTCGAGCTCTCTAACTTCTGAGGTCCGAAGGTCCTGGGAACCTCTCGACAGCATCGGGTGCCAAGCGATGTGCCCCATGCCTGCGAGGAGGTAGCTCGATGGCTGCCGCGCTTCAGTGTGGATCAATTTTCGTTACGGAACTTTACCCACGTCCTGTGTGGACTTGTCTCCAACAAATCCATGATTCTGGAAGCGTTCACAGTGCAATTCGCTGCAAATGCTGCTCATGGCCCGAAGCGAGGTGCGGCTCGCGAAGCAGCACGCGCGTGGCCACTGTGGCACGGAGGGTGCTGAAAACTAGTGCCCAAGGCGAATGCTCGTGGCAGGAAAAGGCCGGGACAGAAGCCAGATGGCGCGGAGGCCTTGGCGGGCGGGACGGAGGGCAGGAAGGCGCAGGGTAGGAGGAGGGACAGCAGAAGAGGGGACGGGTATTTGGGGGGCGAGCCCGGCGCATGGCCTGATGCCAGCGCGGCCTCCCCATTCGCTCTCGCCGCTCTCTCGAGCAGCGCTCCCGCCCTCCGCGAGAGCAGCCCGGGGCGCCTCGCCCGCGCTGACGCGGCGGGAGTGGCGCGGGCACCCCCACATCTCACGCGCGCGGCCGCCCCAGCAGCGCGCGCAGGGCGCCGAGCCAGCACTGGCAGGCCGCCTGCTTGCCTTCTCTCTGGGCCACCGTGCTGACGATGAGCTCCCGCACGTCGGCCTGGGAGTTCGGCCGCACCTCGAAGCGCGTGGGCGCGTGCTGCACCCGCTGCAGCCCGGGGGGCAGCACGGTGGCCCTGCCGGTCGCCTTCGAGACGGCGTCGCCAAACTTCCCGGGGTGCGCCGTGCCCAGCACGACCATCTCGTGCTTCTGCAGGCCATCCCAGCTGAGGCTGCCACGGAGCTGATCGCAGGCCGACACGCCGCAGGCGGTGTGAGGATCGAGCACGTAGTTGAACTTGGTGTCGTAGGCCTTGATGGTGTCCATGATCGCCTTCTCCTGGGCGCAGCCAGAGGCGAAGTCCTGGCAGGCCCGGCGGTGCTCCTGTGCGTCGACCTGCAGCTTACCTGTCTGGTTGAAGGACTTCATGGCAGCTGCCAGCCTGGCGGCATCCTCGCCCATCAGGTAAAACAGATACCTCTCGAAGTTGCTGCTGATGCCGATGTCCATCGAGGGCGAGTTCGTTTGGACCACAGCATATTTCTCGTACGTACCTGATTGGAAAAAGCGATGGAGGATGTCGTTCGCGTTAGTTGCGCAGATCAAGTGCTTCACTGGCAGCCCCATCCTCTTGGCGTAATAGCCGGCCAAAATGTCGCCAAAATTCCCTGTTGGGACACTGAAGCTCATAGTGCCATCACAATTTGGGAAGAGCCGGAAATACGTATAGAAATCCGCCACCGAGTGAACTGCACGTTGTTGAGGCGTGTGAGAAGGCCTGTATTTTGTCTAGGGGCGACCCTCATGGCGGCATGAATGATCCTGCCAAAAAAACGTTCCCCATACGATGTGCTCTCATTCGCTCGTCTCGCATCCCCAGACTGCCCAAGACCACCGCAAGACGACTGCAAGACGCGTCAAAACTAACCGTAGATGGCACAATTATCTCAAGAGACACCGAAATTTGCCCAAGAGGCCATGCTTAAGGTCCGAGCAAGCTCCCAAAAGGCTCACAAGGAGCTCTCAGGCAGGTCCTGGGGAGGACAAAGCCGTTGAACGACTTAATGATATTGACTTAGACGTGCTT